CCGCAAAACAGGCTCCTGTTCATAGCAGCTTCTCTACCTAGCGGCAGGCACTTTTCTTAGGCTTTTGTCACAGGATGCATGCACTTGCTGGAGAGAGACAGAGACAGTAAGAGGGAATGGGAGACATCACCCCCCAGGGGAGATGGCCATGCCATGATCCCTTCTCCTCCATTCTCCTCCTGGGATTTTGGGCACATATGCATAAGGACCTTGCATGATTTTCAAACTGCCAGGTGGGGGACTCGAACCACAGTGGGCTGGCCACATGGGAGTCCAGTGCCACCATGTCACCTACTGGCCCCAATGACAAATCTTTTGAATGGACTCTTTTTTTTTTTTTCTGAGAGGTTTTTGCTATAGGGGGTGTGCACTCGCCAGAAAGAAAGACACAGAGAGACAAAAAAGCGAGAAACCACCCTGCAAAAGGGATGGCCACAGCTCAATCCCTTCTCCATTCTCCTCTTGGGATCTTGGGCATGCACACACACGGGTCTCCTGGTGTGAGTTTAAGCCACCAGGCCCAGGACTCGAACCACGGTCGACTACATGGGAGTCCAGCAACATAACCATTACACTAACTGCTGGTCCTGAATGGACTCTTAACATATTCTGAAGGGTAGCCCTTCCTCAGCTGTGAGAAGGGTCCCCTAGAGTTCTGGGTGATTATCTGCCCTTGAGGAATGGAGGGAGAAAGAGGCGTAACAGCCACCCTATATTCATGGAATGTGGGCGAAAAGAGAGCAGCACCCTGCAGACTACGTCTGATTCTAGGGAAGAGCTCGTGTAGCTCTAAAACGTGCCGTGACTCAGAGTTTTACTGGTTGGTGAGAGCTGGCCATGAAAATGAGTTTCTCACCAGGCGAAAGCTGAACTCTTCTACACGACTAAGTGCAGGGGGCAATAACTAGACCCCTCCTCCCGGGTGTGTCTGAGGCAGAGGGAAACCAATGAGAGGGGAGGCCTTGCTCAGAGGAAGGGCAGAACAAGTGGGGGGTCCTGGAGAGTCGGACAGGAACAGACGGGGCCAGACCAGCAGGGCCACAGGCCTGCACTGCACCTCCTTATTCCACACGGTCCAGAGACCAGTCAGACCGACCACAGGCCCAGAAGCAGCCAAACGCATACCCGCTGCTACAGAGACTGCCCGCCCCACCCACAGGGATATTCTGTCTTAGGACTCGAGGCAGGAAGTGGGGACAAGAGCTATTGGGGCCACTACTTCTTCTGGTCCACCACCGCCATAAAATGTTAGAGATTCATTCCTTTTTTGCAGTTCTTTAACAGGATTTGCTGTGTTCTCTCTGCGGCCAGGTAGAGCGTCAGCTCCAGTACCGGACACTGAGACCTCACCCATTGGCAAGGCTCGTGGCACTCGGCCCTACAGGGCCGCCCGTGGCACAGCTGCGCACCGAGGACGGGAGCCCCGAGGCACTGACCTTCTCCTGGTAGAGCTTGTGGAGCCAGGCGGAACACCGGTCGTCGTCTTCAGGGATGTCTTCCAGCGGGATCCGCCTGCAAAGGCAGAGAGCAGCTAGCAGCGGAGGCGACACCCCACGCCCCCACACGCACTTGCAAGATGAAGTTGTTTGCCTCTTTCTGGCTGTTATCAAGTTAGCCTAAACAATGTGGAAACGGAGAGCAATCCGTTGAAATCCACACAGGACATACAGTCCCAAGTGCAGCCGTGCCCTGCAGGAACGGCCAAGGGCCCGGTCCAGTGACACCGACAGGGGCACCGTCAGGAGAGGGGGGTACCTGCCTCAGTTCATCCTCCCTCCTGCCTTGCAGAAGGGCTGTCAGAACCTGCTCAGGTTCTCCCATGAAGGCCGCAGTGCCCCCGTTCCTGCATAAGACAGCCCAGCGTGCACAGGGTTGGTGCAGAGGACGTAACAGGCCATTCTTCACCAAAATAAGACTTAGTGGCAATGGCATGTGTCTCCCACCAGAAGGAGCCCGGCCTCTAGGGCAGCACTGAGACAGACCCGCAAGGACCTGACACCTCCAAACACACGGATCTTGGGGACCTACAGTTCCCTGGTGGAGGGGAACCGGGGCACCTTCCTCAAGTTTGGCAGAGACAGGGATTCCAGAGTCACTTTGTGCACCCAGGTGCCCCAGAGACTCGAGGGTGGCTCTTTGCAAATGGATGAGCCTAAGCCCTTAGCAACACCAGCTCCCAGAGTCACCCTGTTGTCTGGTGGTTGAGGGAGCCAGATCCCACGTGGCTGCACCGTGTGACTTCGAAGCGCACCAGGTGCGTGTGCATGCGAGCCCAGACTCCCAGCAGGATGGAGTTGGGGTGGTGGCATGACCACACCCCCCTGTAGGGTGCTCTGATCTTTCTCTGTCTCCATAGTGAGTTCACGCACCCTCTGGCAAAAACAAAGTCTTCTGTTTGTCCTACCCGAGCCCTCCAAAACCAAGGAACTGGTAAAGAGGCTCCGGGAACGGCGGGGGAGAGGCGCCTCCCTGGGTCACTGGCAGTAGCAGACTGCCTCCTAGTCCATATAAGCTGCTCTCAAGAAGAGGTTAAGCAGACGTCCCGGGACGAGGGCCCAGGTCATGGACGTCCTGAGACGGCCACGCTCCTCTCTGGAAGGAGCTGGAGCTGACGTACCTCACGTACATGTCCGCGTGGTATTTCTTTCCATTTAGGACTCCCAGCAGGGTGGGGTTTTCATTGTTTCTGAAATTGAGTGTACAGTCATATACAGCTGAAACTATAAGAAATAAAACAAATACAAAGCAGTATATAGCGTGTGAGCCCAAATTTGTTTTGTAGATACACACATTGGCAGACAGTAATCCGGCTGCTAACTGCGACCTAGGCACGGGACAGCCACCGGTGGCCTGCTCGCTCACAGCACCCTCCTCTGTCAGCAAAAGAGCCACTAACTGAGCACAGGGCCGAGGCACGCGAGCTGTCAGTGCCACCGCCAGACTGCGGCGTGGGGGCCGACGG